TATAATGACTCGGCCAGAGGATAGCCAAGGATATCAACTATGAACTCGTAGGCCATGGTTACTAATTATTATTAACTATTTTTAAGAATTGTACATGTACACTATTACAATTAAATTGTGATATTTATTAGATTTTTATTTATAGATAGGTACCATTGGAAATTTAAAATTAAAGAAGTATTATAGTGGCTTATTTGATTATATATTTTATATTATTTTAATGTAATATATTTATCTATTAATGAAAATAATTATCAATTTAATCTTACTAAGTTGAGTTTTTCATTTAAACATTATGCAATATGGAGTGGCAGTTGGCTGAGACTACCGGTGCTTAGGTGTCTCACCACTACTCACTCAACACTTCTCTAAGAGTCGACTAATTACTACTAGGTCTGAGAGGAACTACACTTTTAGTTAACAATAAACATAACTTTTATTTACAAAATAATAATATAAGAGACGGTTGTCCGCAGACCAACCGCTCAGGTCTGCGTCCAGACTAAGACTGCCGTAAAGCATACAAAATGCAATGTCTTTTATACAGTATTCTAGGTCTCGGTTACAATAATGATAGACCTTTAGGTTTACATATAAAACAATTCTAAACCTTAGATATAAAACATTAGTAGTTTTCCATAGAGTCATATAAAATATACATATAAATCAAGTCTAAGGGAAACACTTTATAATACAGTATAAGTTAAATACTTAGAATAAAAGTCAAACTAAGAATGGGTTTGAGATTAAGACTAATCTCCAAAACCATTGCAAATATAATAATATTAATGATTTTAATAGAAATATTTATTATAAACACATTTTCTATTAAGTTACTATATTAATGGATATATATTTTTATATGCTTTTTAAAATGAAAATATAAATTTATGATTTAAACCCGAATAAAATTATTTGCTACTTTATTTCAATTAATATATTACAGTAATAGTATTGAATAACACAAACACATCACACCCTCCCCCCCGATATTGTTTGAATAAAACAATTTTCATCAATGTACATTTACTAATGAATTTAATCATTAAATTTTAATGTAATTAATAGACAAGATGTTGAATATTTGCTAAAACCGTTTAGATTTTTATTGAATGCAATATAAGTTATATTTTTGGCTAAAAACCTAAAACTCAATGCATTACTAAACACTTAACACATGTATCACTAAATCATAACTCAATTTAATTACTAAACACTCGATAAGTATTGACACAAATGAATACAAAACACAAAACTTTTATTTCAATTGAAAACACAATTTATTTATCACTTATTCCATGCGTTCATGAATTCATAGGGGGTTTGGGAGGTGAGGGCGAAGGGAACAGTAGTTTATAGCTATCGTTGGAGTCGTCGACAATGGGTTGAATGCTCTCTCGGGTCGGCCACCGGTCGGGCGATCCCTCCGATGATGGGAGCGATAGGCTGGAGGGGCTGTCGTTACCTAACCGTCCGGAGTTTGTCTCCGGGTGCTCGTCGTAGTCATCAACAGCGCCTACAGCACCGGCACTGGTAGTCGACCTCCGAATTGGCGCCGGGTTTCCATATCTCCCGAAACCGGTAGTCGACGGCGCCGTTCAGTTGGTGTCCTATAAGGGGAACGGTATGTGTATTAGTAAACAGTAGTCAATGGGTTTTGCATTGAAATCACGTAATCATTGGATTCACCGCTTCCTCAGAGTCGTCGTCAATAAGTCTTAAGATATTTGAAGTCATTGTCCGCAGAGTATGTGTGCACTCAAGACATTCCTTCGCATCCCTGTCCACGCATTCGTTGAGATATCGGGTACTCAATGGCAGTCCTCTTGAGGGACACCCCTTCCACCTAACCTTCTATTTGTGTCCATATCTTGAACTTCAGGTACTTATCGGTGGACTCAATACATGCGAGATATCTATGGGTTGAGTCTTAAGCACCGCTCCAGACATTGGTCTCCAATCGGTTCCCACTCTCGAAGAGTCCATAAAAACGCCTAAAAGTGGAGACAATTATCGGTTAAAACTTGTGAACCACTTCTTGGACGCCATTCACTGATAATGGGAACCAATTGGTGACCAAAACTCGTCATCACTTCCAATACACACATCACAACTGATAACCAATTCATGGCATCCATTGGCCATCACTTCACGCGACCATCAATTGGTGGACCACTTGTTAGACACCAATCACTGGATGTGATCAGCAAATGGTCACCAAAAACGCCAATCAATGCCTCAAAACACTTCACGAAGACATCAATTGATCCCATAATCCATGCCATCAACCAATCCTTATGTCTACCAATAGGTTAGCCGTGAGTGTGGTGTCAGTGAGGGTTGTATCCAATGGTTGGGAGACTTCTGGAGATCAGTTGCGGTGATAATTGTTGTGACAATTGGTTTGAAATATGTTTTTGACTTCACTTTCACTGTTGTCTACGAAAAGTCCCCCAATTGTTCACTAAATACGTGACGCTATATGTCGGGGGAGTGTGTGTTGTGTTGAGTGTGTTATTCAATATTCGTTGCAATGCTTGGGGTCTCGCAGTCCACACATTACTGTCACTGCATTTGTGTATAACTCTTGCATTGATTGCCAAAACACTGTAATACGGGACCCAAACGCTACCCAAACGCCTCCTATCGGCAGCACTGCATACATACTGACCGTCGCTATGATCTCCCTCTGGATTTTTAGTACACAATAAATTTCATGCGGCAAATGCTTAACAATGGGAATGCGCAGGGCCATAAGGGCATTTAGCACTGTATTACTGCATGTCTACCCCACCAAAATGTCCTTTAGATTTGGATTTGCCGTTAACGTGCGATAGACGTAATGGTGCACTAATGCTATAAGTATAGGCAGTGAGAACGCATTGCGCGCATCGACTGTATTCTCATTTTTAAGCACTTTCTCACTCAATAGATGGCAACCAGTGCTCCATAAGTGCCATAAATATGTGAAATAAATTATTTGGAAATAAATGTGTGAATAATATACAGTAATATCTACTTAATGTAGGCACTGCCTTAATTGCCAGACCGCCAGACCGCCAGACCCGCCAGACCCGCCAGACCCGCCAGACCCGCCAGACCCCCAGACTCGACAGACCCCCATTATATCAATATTTGACCCGCCAGACCCTAATTATAGAAGTATTTTACCAGATATCCTTTTTGCCATAACATCAATATGTCCAAATATAATTCCGATTTACAACATTAACTAGTCAATTTTATTAAAGTATATAAAGAAGTTTACCTCAAATTTAAAGTACATTAAAAATTATGAGTCGTTAACTTATATAATATTATACTGAATAATTTGTTAGGACATTATATATTTAGTTTGTATATTTTTAAATTACTAAGGTAAAATTATAATTATCTAGAATAATAATGTAATAAGTTTATTACAAATTTAAACATGTATTTTACTAATTTAATTAATATATAAAAATATAATTGTAATAGAAATGTAATAATAGATTTACTTTACAGTATTCTAAAATATTAAAATATAACACAATTTAAATATTTTGTGTAAAAAAATTTGTAATATTATAATTATTACACAAAATATGAGCTTACAATTCAATAATAGTATATCGTAATTCAATACTCTGTTTATAATAATCAGTAAAATTATTATGTATTAAATTTAATTGTTAATATTTTAGTTAAACCGTATAATATACCGTATAAAAAGGATATCTGGTAAATTACTTCTATAATTAGGGTCTATCGGGTCAAATATTGATATAATGGGTGTCTAGCGGTCTGGCTGTCTGGCGGGTCTGGCGGTCTGGCGGTCTGGCAATTAAGGCAGTGCCCTTAATGTAAACTCATTTGTATATATTATTATTATATTAATTGAATTAATTGAAATAAAGTTTATTCGGGTTAAATATTTTATTAAATTATGAAATATATAATTTAACCACTATAACCAAATATGATTAAAAAAATATAATAAAATTAATAAGATAACAAAGGTGATGGTAATTAAATAAAAACAGTTACTGTATATACAATGTTATGTAAATAGCATATATTTTAATTAATTAAAATTTTTACTTGTCTAAACAAAAATATTTGCTTTATAAAAATCTCCAATAGCAACTAGGTATGTTTTCGAAAACATTTTATTAAACTGGTTACAAAAATGTATTTATTCTATACGGTACATTATAAAACAACATGCCAAAAATAAAACAAACCGGCTTAAATATACTTATAATCCTACATAAAATTATTGGCATAAGTTATTGGGGTACGACAATACACCCTGATTATCAACACTCTAAATATATTCGTATATTACAATTAATATGGAATTGTATCGTGCTAATTACTATCACCTCATATGGCATATTCGTAATCTATGTATTTCTGGTTCACCCGGATATTGGAAAGCTAAAAACTAGTAGCATGCTATTATTTATTACACTTAACGTGGGTATACAATCATTTAGCCTACAAACACTATTTATATTGCTGTATACCCTGGTCAGAGGCACGGCTATTTTGAGATGCCTAACAAGTCCGGAACATTCTTATATAAACCCCACAACTGAACGTAGGGTTGGCTTATGTATTGCGTGCATACAGTTTGGCGCCGGTATCATAGTATCAATAACTGAGGTAGTTGTATTGTATTTTACTGGCCATTCATACGATATTCTTATATAAACCCCACAACTGAACGTAGGGTTGGCTTATGTATTGCGTGCATACAGTTTGGCGCCGGTATCATAGTATCAATAACTGAGGTAGTTGTATTGTATTTTACTGGCCATTCATACGATGTGAGCAGGTTCATCATTATTGTAATTTGGCTAGTCTCATTCTTGACATTTAGCATCCAATTGAGTGTATTATCACTCATAGCCTATAAATGCATAATTGTTTCGCACGTAATCCGGAATATTCTGGTCCAGAATCCCGGTGTAAATCTTATGGCTATTTATAACAGATTACACGATGTATGCAAACGTGTCAATGAATTCAATGATAAAATATCGTTATATTTATTGATATCATTATATTCAAACTGTTTATCATGCATATCGTGGTTGTGCCTGTTCAAAATATTTATAACAGATTACACGATGTATGCAAACGTGTCAATGAATTCAATGATAAAATATCGTTATATTTATTGATATCATTATATTCAAACTGTTTATCATGCATATCGTGGTTGTGCCTGTTCAAAATATTTATATATGGCATACAGTGTACTATATCACTGGTATGCTGTATATCGCTTATATTATGTCTGTGTTTTATACCCGATATTATGGTAAATAGTTTCCGGAAACTAATTGAGAGATTAGAGGATTTATTGCGTTCCGGGAATATGTCAGTGAATGATAGGATGATAATCATGGAAATCAAGGGTTTAGAGGCGAGACTGTGTTTATCGGCAATGAATTTGTTTGTAATAAATGGCAAAACATTCATATCGTGTATGGCTTTCATATTAGCATATTCTGTAGTTCTCATACAAACTACACAAACTTAATAATTATTAAAATAAATTAATATATTTTTGAATTTTAAATCTATATTAATAATTATCATAAAATATAACTTTGAAAAAACTGTAATTTTTTAAAACTTGTACATAAAATATAATAACTTATTAATTTAATTAATCATGGCTTACAGATGAGTTGTAAATAAAAGATTAATTTTAAATTAAAATTATATTTTGTCTATAATTTATAATTAACTAGTTTTAAAAACATATAATAATATAAAAATATTCATGTACTCATTCAAAGAGATTGAATACATTTTTGTACATTGATTTTAAAAAATATGTATTAAATTTTAATTTAAACTGTAATATTAGAAAAATTCTATATAAACTTATATTAAGTATTTCTATATAACATAATATTGGGTTAATTGGATACATCCGTTAATATTTTTAAATAAAATGAGGAGTTTGTGTCATATATTGCTTCGTATATTAGTCTATGGTTTGGATTTTCTGTACTAATGCTACCAAAAGTACTCAACAAATGTTATCAATTTATTTATCGGAAAATTATTTTCTATTTAAATATCAGACAAAATATTAATGTGAATGTCATAAATGTGAATGTTATTAGTAGCGTGCCTGATATAAATGTTTTGCAATAAATTAGCTGACAATTGAGAATAATGTATGCAGATCATAATTTATTAAATTTTTACATGAATGAAATAAACAACTTTTATTATCAGTGTTTATGATTTATTTATTTGTTTCCTAATGATTGACATTTCTTTATAGTCAATAAATCAGTTATTAAAATTTTGCATACAGTTAAATGTTGTACACTTTTGTATTTATTGATAATATAATATAAAATAGAAATTCTTTTATAAACAAGATTTTTGAATACAGAAACACTTAAGTGAGCTATATAATTGTTTATAATTGTATGTAATTATATATAATTGTATATAATTGTATGTAATTCTATATAATTCTATATAATTCTATATAATTGCATATAATTCTATATAATTGCATATAATTCTATATAATTGCATATAATTATATAAATTCTAATTAATAATTTAATTTAAATTATTAGTTTGCAAGTGAGTTATATTGTAATATTTAAAATGTGTTTTATGAAATATTATTTAGATTCTTTCAATGAGATTTTAATTACTTTCAATTTCGATTCTCTGTATTAATGTTACCAGATGTGTTTAAAGATGTTATCAATATATCTGTGAAAGCTTTCAAAACCCTTGCTATAGATTTTTATATTTAAGCCCTTTATATAAAATAAATTTAATGATTATTACTTCTAAAGGGCTTAACATATAAAATCCATAGTAAGGGTTTTGAAAGCTTTCATCAGATATTCATAGAAAAATTAGTTTTTATTTAAATTAGAGTTAGAGTTACACAAGTTAATATTAATAATAGTGTGAGAAATACACGTGATATAAATGTTTTGTAATGAATTATATTTGTTAAATGTATTTCTTTGTGAAATCTTACATTAAAATCTATAAAATCTTTGATGAAAATATTTTTGCTTTATATTGAATAAATGTTTAAAAATCAATTTGAGCTAAGAAATATTGTCATTAATTATTAATAGCATAATACTTTTGTATATTTGTTATTTGTACCACAAATAGAAATAATACATAATTGATTGACACGTCTATTGAATATAAAATTCTTGTCATAAAATATTCAATAAAATTCAAAACACTGTATAAATAATTGCTATCATAAGTTATGTTTCATAACATTTCACAATTGTAACACACAAAAATCTGAACGATAAATAAAATTAAGTTCAAATAAACTCAAAATATTATTTGAAAAGTATTTATTAAAAATGGCAAACTTTCAAATATTGTCTCAAATATTGAATACACAAGCATTTCGTTACACATTTTTCATATTTTGTTTGTCTGTATGTGTGTATCAAGTGTACAGAATATGTGACATCTATTTATTGTATAAAATCACAACTTCTGTCACTTACGGCAATATTTCGGTCATATCTCTGCCGGCAATCACCATATGTTTCGACAAAATCGATGTCTTGAGAGACGAGTATTTCGTTGAATTCAATATAAGTCACAATCAATTGGATAGAAATGAATCGAAACTAAAAGTGGAGAAATTGTGTGCAAACTATACGATTAAACAACAGTTTGAAACATTGTTTTATAAATATAGTCAAATATTCAACGATTGTCTGGTATTAAAAACTATTGGTTTTAATAGCAAGAAAACATTTCACAAATACAATGATTCGTATATTAATTGTGAAAATCTTAGTCAAATTAAAACTTCAATTGATTACACCAGGTAAGACTATGTAAAAATATTGATTATATAGCTTTGTTGCCACTTACAGTTATTTACCTTTTAAACTAAAATTACTATTAAATAAATAATTTATTTTTTAAATACAGTATTTGTTATACGTTTCTATCGGAAACTAATGCCAAATCCGATGACAACTACTTTAACATCAATAATGATCTCATGTATAAGGATCTCTTGAAAGCATTTCTGGTGATTACGACAAAACTAACTGATATTAAGTCTAAAATTGCTGTTCATTCACGAAACCAATTAATTACAAACATATCAAAAAATAAATTCATTACATTCTCGCTGCAAAAGTTAGTAAATACTTCACAAATGATTTACTTTCAATACAATGAGCATGTATTCAAATCGCTGCCCAAACCGTACGAAACAAATTGTGTTGAGTATAGGGAAAGGGGTTTTAATTTACTGTCCGATTGTATCGATAAATGCCGAATGGATTCCTATAAGGATTTATGGCCTAACAAATGGCCCGGGAATTATCTAGCTTATAATCTGTCAATGAATTATACAATGATCAGTATCCATGATTACATTTTTAAGGATTTAGATTATGATTTTAGTTTAAGTCAGAAATGTCAAAACATTTGTGGTCTAAGTATTGAGTGTAATAAAGTGTATTATAATCTAGTTATTAACAAAATATCACCTTTGGATTACATTTATCATAATCATTTAGTGTTTTATGAACCCCTAACCCCTGACCTTATTTATATACATTCACCGCAAATCCTGTTTGAGGAGTTTGTGTCATATATCTCATCATATGTTAGTCTATGGTTTGGATTCTCTATTATTATGCTATCAAATGTAATACAAAAATGTCATTTATTTGTATTCAACAAAATTAAGCTTTATTTCAATTATATTAAAACACACAATAAATTTAAAATCAGAGTGCACAATTTGAATGTCACACAAATTACACCCATAAGCACCCCGCAAGAATAAAGCTAATTAAACTCACAACAAATTTAATTAATTATTTATTTTTAAAAATTGTACTTAAAAATTAACAAGTTTGTATTTTCTAAAATCTAAAAAGTAAGTAATATAGTCAAGCAACATAAATGTTTCCAGTTAACAAACTTAGTATAAATTGTATTATTCTATTAAACTAAATGTACTGTATGTATTTATTTATTATATTTGCGAATAATTTTGTTTACAAATAATTTTCACAAATAAAAAGTATTTGTTAATACCTTAAATGATACTGTACAATCAATTATTTGTAATAGTTTTCACTATCCAATCGATATGTCTGGAAACTCGTACGTAATAACTGGTCTCCTTTGTCTCACAACCGGTTACCGACCTATAAATGCCAATCAAAACAGCCCTTCCATTTAAATACTGAAACAACGGTCCACCGGAATCTCCCTATAATACAAAGTCATTATAACCTAGCTACACATGATAACATACGTGGACAGACATACCGAGCAGGGTATGCTACCATTCCCTCTATACTGGTCGACCACAATAGTCCAGCCGTCCCCATCGTCATCGTTGAAACGTATTTCCCGGATCAGAGTCCACCCGACCTGAAGTCTATCCACACCACGAGTGGGCGATACCGTCCCAAAGCCCGTCATAATCGCGTATTCATTGAACGGATTAAACGTATTTCCCTGAACTAAACAAATGCTATTCATTGGCCGATAATGGGTGACCGGATCGGCACTAAAATCCAGTTTCTCACTCAACTTGATTAACATTAAATCGTAAATCTTGCCCATATAATCCGGCACATATTTGTCGTGGAAAAAAAGTTTCTCATCGTGATACGCCTTTCCCTTTTGGGATTTGGACACAATTCCCGGATAGATATATGTCTCGTGAAACTTACAATCCTTACATTTACTATTGTACATACAAACTAGTCAATTTTATATTAATTTAGTTGTGTACTGTATACTCACGGTATACAATGTGCCGTGGCGAGCACCCACCACTCGTTGATTATAACACCTGTGCATTCGTGACTAATTCAAAATTAAATAAAAACAATAATATAATATAATGAGTACATTTAATTATTCATCCAGTTTGTATTTCCGGGTCCTTGCAAGGAGATCTGAATTTAATTTGCTTATTTAAAAGCATCTAATTTTAATAATGTAATTATTATTAGAAATACATGTCCATAGATATAGGGTATAATAGCATTTAATTTATAAATCATTACATTATCATTACATAATTATTTTGGTGTTAAATGATTACATACGTGTTTTTTTCACTTAACACCCACCACCCGGTAATTTGCTCATTAACAATATAGGCAATGAATGGCATTTCACCAGGCTCAGCATTCCTACCATTCACTATATTAGGTGGGGTTCTGTGCCAAGTAAAGCACTGGTCATTGCGTTTAACTGAAGTAACTGTAGTCGATGTAAAACCACAGTCAGGGGTCGTAACATTTGGGTAGTTACCCATTTTGACACTGGATATAGCATTTCTGGTGTCCACACTTTTACAAATCATTACTATAAACAAGTAAGTTATATTAATAATTTTTTAAATTAAGTGATAATTATAATTACAAGTTATTATGCTTAAAGTTAAATCCATATCTGCATGCACAGTTGTATAGATAAACAGTACTTTTAAAATAATAATAATTTAATTTATTAAAATTTATGTAATTATATTTATATTTCAATATTTTGAGTAAAACTAAATAAATTATCGTTTAACATCTCTTTGTAACCTTATATTTATTAAGAATATTTTAATAAATTATAGAAATAATAGCATTTATATGCAAACATTGTTTAAACTAATGAAATTTGAGATTGAAATATAAAACAATTATATTGTTTGATACTATTTTTATAGCTAAAAATACAAAACTATAATTATCAAAAATAATTTATAAAAATATTAATTTCTTATCCATGTATTTAAATTATCTGTCCTGTGTAAAATTCGCAATGATTTTAAAATCATTTGCAATGTTTGTATCTATACTATTGTGCGTACATATTGTGGCCAGTATTACAACACACGCCCAAATCGGTGACTACCCGGGTGTTACCAGCAATGAGTGCGGTATTGGCATGTATTCCCGGCTAATGGAGGGAAGTTGCTTTAAATATAGTAGCCGTACGTCAGACGATATAATGCATGGGAGGGACGTGGAGGTCGGGGAGATGCCATGGGTTGTGTACGTCAAGATTGAGAGACACTTGCCCACCACCGGGTTTACGGATAGGATTGTAAAGTAAGTGTAAATGTTTATTTAACTAGCACTGTATTATAATCACAATTTAAATTATAATACATAAAATAACCTTGATACAACGTAGCACATGGTGTACCGGAAGTATAGTCCATGAGCGCTGGGTACTGACGGCAAGCCATTGTTTTAAGTGAGTATAAGACATATACCGTATATTTAGGATAGTAGTAATCATAACAATTATTGAAAATTA